CGAGTCAGCTTTTTGTTGCCTTTAAATCTTTCAGAATAGCTGCTGTGATGGCCACGTAGACCAGTCGGTGCAGGTGGCACCCGCGCTTACTTACCAGGATCCTTCGCCTATTCAGAGAAATCAAATTATGCGGCTGTGTGTGGGTCTAGTCAAGTTGACTTTCCATCTTTTGGTAAATGGAAAAAGGTCAGACTTCAGTGGGTTTATTGACAGTCCCTTTTCAGCATACCAGTATTCAGTTAATTTTATCGCAACTTGCATTCCGCTACAGTGTCTTCATGCAAGCCAAAAACGGTGTTGATAGGATCGTCTGCATAACCATATGCGTTAAATCCAATGCCGTTTAGCTTTTCCAGGAGTTCGCCAAGCACCCCAGTGTCCCAAGTAGGGGCGATAAGACTCCACCTTGAGAACAGCTATGGGTGGCAGTTGCTGTTTGCTTACTGTATTTGCAAAACATTTTTCTTAATTAAGGCTCATAGAATTGTAGGCGGAATCAAGGCATATCAAATAGGTAGAAGCATTAAACAAAAACAACATTTATGTGTATTTTGTTGTTGCTTCTGGTATTTAAGGTGTCAAAAACTGTTCTAATGTTTTTCTTTTGACTCAAAGTGTGCTACTTATGTGAAATACAACAACAGAAAATGTAAAACATTGAAATTGGAAATGATAAAAATTGCTGCAATTTTTTACATAACTTTTGTCAGAAACTTTTCTTCTTTTTTTCTGTCACCGGATGCCGGTAATACGACCAAAGCATAGAGCATCCCCAACTTAGTGATTCATATTTTTCGTTTTCCAATAAAAAAATATCGTCCATTTTAGATATCTAAGACAGGTTGAGGTTCGAAGGTCATTTAGAGAATGAAAAATGCCGTACCAATGAAAAAAAGTTTCAATCAAAAGTCACGTATTTTTATCCGCAGAATTCGAACCTGTAGTAAAAACATGTACATATATCTAATTTGAAAAAATGGACTACCGGGCAGTTTAGCCCCCTTCCGGTCGAAATCATTTAGTGGGCTGGATGCGGTTTTTTGCGTTTCAGGTGACGATATGTACGAGTATATCGCGTTACCTATTCAAAACAGGCAGCCTCGCCGAATGCAATTTCAAACACACTTCATTTGCCGCATAATTGGATATGGTGATGAACACAAACACTTTGCATTGGTACATGGGCTTATTTGTGCATAAACATAAACACCTACTTGTGTATGTACATTAGGGTGGTCCAAAAACAGTAACCTCGGAATTGTAATGCTCTCACCCCCTAGGATTGTTCTATATCGAAAAAAAGTATACCCCTATTTTTTTATTTTGAAATCAAAAAATATTTAGAGGTCGCTCAAAGCGCTCAAAGTCTTCCATGTACATATTTTTATATGGGAAAAAAACAACTTTTCGTACAAATTGTATAGAATTCTTGAAAACCAATATTTTTCGATCGGAAAATTCTGGTTCTCTTCAGGAGACTTTCAGTAATAAGACCCAATTGTTTATTTAACCATTTTTTACTACTAACGATTTTTTATTGGTCCCCCCATTGAATTTTTCGGGGTTTTTGTGGGTTTTTGGCGGACCTATAAATTAAAGTTGCGATGAAAAAATGGTTAAATAAAAATTTGAGTACTATTATTGGGAATCTGCTGCAGACAAATTGAGTTCTCTCATAGAAAAATATTGATTTTTAAGAATTCTATACCATTTCTACGAAAAGTTGTATTTTTGGACCACCCTAATGTACATACATACGTATGAATATTGACAGCCGAATACATATGCGAGTGCATTTGCACTGCGTTTATTTGTATTGTGGCTAAATATTATCTTCGCAGCGTTACATTGAATGCAGTTGTGGTTTGAATGGTAAACATTTCTAACTGTAAAATCAAACTTAAATCGCACACGTACACGCATTTGCATCGTCGCACAATCGCATTGATAATTCTATTTTGCATAACATAATCTATGGGCTTCGTTGCAAAATTAGATATTAAATACTAAAAGGTAACAGTGTGTGACGCGAAACCCACGAAATATTATGCATCGGTTTTTGGTGTAAATATTTAGATTTTTATTTTGTTATTCGTATATATTCGGTATTTGTCTCTGTATTTGCAACGCATTGAGTACGCAGCCCTGATGGGAAAATCGAATAGTGTGGCTAACTTAATTTGGTTTTAATAATGTGATTTTTTGGTACTTACATTTCTATTTTAAGCTGGTACTATGCTAGAACTGCGAGTCTCTGTTTGTGTACATACATATCGAATCCAATCCACAGTATGCGATATTTGGCCATAACTGATGGATTGCGAAATGAAAGAAATTTAGTTAGATCAAAAGGGGCTGCTTAATCCGTTTAATTCGAGAAATTCGATCGCGAAATGTTCTACCAGTTATTTTTTGATAGCTTTCTTAACAATTTTTTATGGAAGCTTTATAAAGTGCTGGTTTGGTTATACTTCTTAAACAAGGAAAATGATGATTTCATAAGAAATATTTCGTAATCAAAATTAGTTGCTAATTTATCAATACCTGTCTTATATTTCAAGTATATTTTTTTCAAAAAGCTATAACTAATGAGCAGGGAAGAGTAGGATCTTCATTCAGTCGGCGCCATTTTTATTTATTTAGACCGACTTTATCAGTTGTTTCAAAAAACATTGATAGGTCTATTCTGCTCTGCTAATATAAATTTTGTAACCGGTGATTAAAGTGTCTGTAAATTTTTAAACCTTTTTCGGATTCTGTGCTCTCTTGTAACCGGTAAATTTGGTTACCATCTCATAAGTTGGTAACAAAATATTTCTCCATGAAATATGCAATACAAGAATTTCCACAAATCTTCATACCTGAATTGCTGAATATTTTCACTGCTGAATTACCAACGTACCTAGAATCGCGGTGACAAGCAGTGGTAACATTTTTTGGTAATAAAATTTTCCGGTCACAAAATCTTCGGTAACGTGCAGAATAAATCTGTTAGTGTGTTAAAACATTAAGGAATAATGCAATTTATACTATATAATTAGCACCATATAATTTATAAGATATATCTTAACAAACCTGAAGTCAATTTGCGAAAATCAATAATAGCGATCCAATATGGCGTCCAAGAATTTGAAAATTACTGAATTTTCATGAAATTTGGTATTTATGATTCATCAGTTCGCTTATTACAAATTTCAAACTAATGTGGCGTCCGAGGTTAAAAGAAGTTGTTGGATTTTCAAACCAGAATAGCTCTATTTAAAAATGAGAAAACTTAATTACGAATTTCGTATATAATGAAAAAAAAAAATCTTAAAAAACTAGGCGGCCTACGTCAATTGTTTGGGCTCAACATATAGCACACGGCCCAAAGTATCCCCTTTTTATAAATAATAATTAGTGTTATTTTTTCATAACTTGATCACAAATTCCTTCTAATTTTTCGCGAAAAACATAGCTTCCCCAACCACTGTGCGGCTTCAAAAAAGAAGGATTTTATCAGTTCGTCGGAATATTTGTTTTTGTATATACATATGTTGCCGTATAACTTTGGACCACGTTAACCGACTTCTCTAATTTTTTTAAGGAAAGATGGTACCTCAGAGGTGGTCCCACACCAATTGGCTTAGATCCGATTATTGGATTACGAAGAAACTAACGATAAAGTCGGTTTTGTTTTTTGCTTAAAAATTACTTGTGTGTTTAATGTTTACCTAGTGCACAGCTGGTGTTTTTCCCAAAAAAAAAAGGTATCAAACTCAGCATCAGCAGGAAAAAGCCTATAAATTCCTTTACTTGCAACATTCGGGTTGAGGAATTTTATTAGTTGCTCTTATAGCACAAAATTTACTTGCAATCAATACCGAGTTGCAAAACCCTTTTGTTAACATAAATACATACATATGTATGCATGTACATACTTACATAATTGGTGCACCACAATAAAGCGCAATCTCATTCATCTCGCCCTGCACCAATTGGTATGCCACTGTGTTTTGCTTGCGCTTGACCGCACTGCCAGTGACAGCCAGTCGACCCGCCACGTACAGCGAGGGGGTCATTATTCAAATAAATCTCTGCAGCAGCAGCAGTGGCAATCATTTATTACGCTATCGCAAACATACAGCATACAAACATACTATGTACATATGTACAAACGTACAAATATATACTTGTTTATTCACAAACAAACTGTCATACGAAGGCAAACACAAATATTTACATACAGAAATAATCACACACTCGAATTTATTTTGGTTTGCACATTTTAAAATGGCACTCCGAAGTCTCGGCGAAATTTCGGAACCAATGATGAGTCCGCAATTTTTGGTTGATGGCGAATGTCATGCAAGCGCTCATTTGTTTTTGTTTGTGTTTCATTTTTGAATTTATTATTGCTTGTAGATTTGTTTGATTTTGAATGCGAAATTGCATTACCCCTAAATTAATTGCTTCATTTGGCCTTATTTTCTAACTGAAACTAAATTGCATTCTGTTTAATATTTGCCATTTCAGTTGCACGCAGTGTTGCAATGCAATTTTAATTAAAACTATTTTACAAATACATATGTACATACATAATGCAAATACTGGCATTTTTTATGTTTAATCGTTTGGTGGTTAGTCAGGCATACAAAATGCATTTATTGCAATTTCAAATTTTATTAATAATTAAGATGTGCTTTCGAAGCGTTAAAATTATTAACAGTAGTAATAATTTTAATAATAAGCACAAGTTTCATGGAAAGGGATTAACACCTAAAATTCTTGAGCTATGAATTATTCGTAGTTAAATTTTCGTCGAGCTTCTGTGATTCGAAGCTCGAATAGAGTGAAAAAAGTTACTTAAATGGTAATAAAAAGTTTAAGTATTATTTTATTAAAATTTATGAAAACTATGAAGTCTTCGGATTAGCCGAAGGCAGTACTTTCCTTACTTTTTATCTATTAACTTTTAACAAAATGTTAAGTTAACTTTATGTTTTCTTTTTTCTTTTCAGGTAAGCAATTAAAAAAACGAAGCCATATGCGCTCTACAATGCGGTTACTACGAATGTATGTACCTGTGCTTATACACATCGATGGTCCTCAACAATAATGGCACAACTAAAAATTTCATATATTTCAGTAGAGCCAATCAAAGATTTTATGTTTCGTAATTTAGCAATAAGATGCATGTCTTGGAACTTAATTATTCCGGATTATTTGCAGTCATTATGTAAGGGAAATTTGTAAGCTTTCAAATTTCTAAAGATTTAGTAAGCGTTGGACTGCAAAAATACGAAATAGATAACAACTCCTAATTAGTTAAACGAATCAAACTCCATTTGTATTTCTGAATAACGGCACAAAACGAAAAGTGTCGTTATTTCCCATACAAAAGTTTCTAAAGCCGAATTTCCACTAGGCATTAAAATGGCAAAAAATGTGTGCCATTTAAAAAATGCCATGTAATGACACGAATATTTTTAAATGCCCAACTTCGTTATTATAAATTTTCCATTTAATGCCTAGTGGCAAATAGTCCAACATAATGCCGAATTTCCACTAGGAATTAAATGGCAAAAAGTGTAATGACAAAATGTGGCATTAAAAAATAATCGTGTTATTACGTTAAAAAAATTGTCATTAAGTTAATTTCCGCATGGCCTTTTTTAAATGGCATACATTTTTTGTCATTTCAATGCCTAGTGCAAATTCGGCATAAGTGTAACTATGTAATGAACAACGGCCTAATAGGAAATGTATTGTTATTTGACATAAACGCATCACTAGCCTATCGACAGTTTTTGACTTATGCCAATATTCACGATAAATGTGAGACATATGCCACTGTTCAGTAATAAGGGTTGCCTACTTCGATTTTGTGACAAATGGCAAAACTGCGCCTCTGCCGGATTCGCAACAGCTAAGCATATGTCGATTTGCCACACAAAAATACGGTTAAACCTAATCCGCTATATAACTCAAAAACATGAAATTTTGGGTTGTGCCGTTATTGCAGAGGACCATCGATATTTATATTAAAAAATTATTAAAAAATTGAAATGTACATTGGTTTTGATGAAATATAGCGCTCGGATCTCTTATGACTCTAACTAACATTTGGAACATTTTTTTGAGTTTTTTAAATTCAATTTTTCAATTTCAATTCAATCAAAAAGTGAATTTTGAATTTTTATTTAGTTAAAGCTTTTTGTATTTTAGCGACGATATGGGATATTACGGTAGCGATATTCATATTTCATAACAGTGGCTATTCATACCCAAATAGCATAATTGGAAAATTGGGTTGCCGAATATTTGTTATAGAAAGTAAACGCGGTTGGCGATTTTATCTAGAGACATGTTTAAGCTCAAGTCACCTGATTTAATAGTTCAGTTATATAATTATAAATATTTTCCAACTCTACACTCTTGTAGAAATGTACTAAAAACTGTTTTGGTATTTTTACTTAGCTGTTAAACTAATTAGCTGTGCAATTGAATTGTTTAAAGTGACGGCGCACTCTAATAAGTAAGTTGTGCAACTTGATTCTATAACTAAAAGATTGCAGTTTCTTCTTACAAAGTGAACAAACAATTTCTTGATTTTACATTATTAGCACTTATGAATTCATTTCTCAACTCTGTTCAAAGAATAATTGTTTATGTCCAAATTTGTTTAAAGTAAATCATATTTTGCTTGCAGGCAATATTGAATGAAAACTTTCTGCAAGTTTCTATTGTTTTAAATTGTTTGTATTATTTTGCTCTCGTTTTAAGGTGATTTTTGCTGATTCATCAAAACAGTACAGTACTTGCCATTTTGCCTTTATGTGTGTGCAATGGTCAAGCGTTGACTTCCATAGTTCAAGGATCAATTGCAATGGCTATTCACGGTATGCCAATAGTGTGTGCATGTGTGGCTTGTAGTTGTGAGAAAAAGTAAAAGCAAATACAGCAACATACATTTGTACATACACACAAGCATACATACATATGTACCCCTGCAAAAAATTGTGCGACTAATCTCTAAAGAGAGTATTCCGAGATTACTCTCAATCGGGTACAATTGGGCATTAATTAGTCCCAACTAGTCTCATACGGGTACTAATGGAGGTCAATTAGTCTCGACTCATCCCTTATGGGTATAATTGGAGATCAATTAGTCCCCAACTCATCTCTAACGGGTACTATTAACGATTTAATGATATGTACGCAATTAGTCATTGAAATTTCATGTGCGGCGTTGGCACACAGAGAAAGTGTTCGCCTGCCAAAACTGAGCACCCCGGTTCGAATCTCAGCTGGCGCAAATTTTTATTTTTATTTTTTAAAAGTGACTAGTCGCTTTTTATACCCGTTCGGGTATAAAGGTGAACAATAAGTCTCTTCATAGGACATGCTCGAACAAATGCGACCAGTTCATTCCATATAAAGAGATCAAAAGTGGGATTAGTCGCATGCTCCTTTGCGATTGCTCCCGGAGTCATCTCGGATTAGGCGCATTTTTTGCAGGGACTATATGTATATCAAAATGAACATCAGGCGTATGTATTTTTACGTATTAAGGGCCAACGCCAATTTGTTTTGTGG